AGTTGGGGGCTCTTTCTTTTATAAACTCAGACCGGAAGACGAACCATCGTACCTCCGGAGAAGCATTAGGTTGGCATAATGGACCAATCAGAAGACGACTTTGAATTGGACTTCGTCTCTCGGCCCTAGGAACGTGGAAACAGCGAAGCTCGGCCCATCCCATTTCGCTGACTAAGAGGGGGGCTACTGTTGGGCCTGGGCCTGCGTCCCAAACGATCTACGACCCGGCGGTCAACGGCCTGAGAACAATGGAAGCCCAACTCAAATAGTAACTGCGATATGGTTAAGCCTGAGTCAGATTCGATAACTACAGTTAATAAAACCTAGTATGTACCCTTAAAACCTTGTACTATAAATAGGGGAATAAGCTGATGTGAAGGGGGATTATTCCATTCTCTGAGGGAAAGTACAAGGGATCCAGAGCGTAACCGTTCAGTCTCTAACTCCGACAGAGAACTCACCGGAAGGCCATCGCCGACCGGAAAACACCGCAAACACTCATATTACATATTAGCTCGCAGCGAACAAGTAGCCTGGGATCTGTTCGGTCTACTACTCTCTTTCTAGTCTATAGTAATCAGGTAGACCGGGATCTGTCCGGACTATCTATAGCGGTCTTCTTTGTAACACTCATTTCGGGCTCAACTTCTAATACATGAAACCTTCTGACCTCCTATCTACTATAAATTCATTGTTCGATCTTTGGGTTAAATAGTAAGGAGTGAGTGTTCAGGGTGAAGGGAGAAAACAGACTCCATAACGTATTATAAAGCCTTGGCCTCAGCCCTGTGATCTCTCCCAAACCTATCCTGATTTGATTCAATCCAGTAATTAAGGGCCAATCAATACCATGATTTACTCTCTGAGATTGACAGGATCGGATCGCTTGCCGATCTTCGCTGTGGATCCAGCTTAGGAAAGGAGATCCACCCTCCAGATCGGTGATTCGCCTTGCATATTCATTAGGTTGAGTGATCGCAGGGAGATTGGTATTTTTGTTATCACCAAAAGCATCCCCTTGATCCCATCCAAGATCTTTGTTATCGTGATCTAAATCTCTTGTGGAACGGATCCACTTTCGAGGCGCTACGCTCGCGTTGTTCTTCGGAAAACCATAAACTCTGGTCTCCTCGGTTTGCCTAAGACCGTCGACAAAACTCCATGCTAGCCGTATGCCCAGTCACCGCATCCTTCAATCGTCAAAATTCAAAAAAGAGTCGTTTCATCTGCCTCAGCGAGAGAAAAAACGCTACACGATGACAATACTTTATATATTCATTTCATATAAGAAGATTTCTTATATTCATTTCATATAATCTAATGTTTAGTCAATCTTTACATTGAGGCTGTATATTACAAATCATTTATATATATATAACTTTTATAGGAAAGAATTAGAAAAAGGTAAAATTAATGTTTAGTCAATCTTTACATCGAGGCTGTATATTGATGATGTTCAACAGAATTAGAAAAAGGTAAAATTAATTTTACAATGATGATGTTCACGGAAAAAAAAAAAAAACCTAGTTTATTGGAAAGTTGGTTGAATTTGGTCAAAGACGGTTTCTACTCTCTAACAGATTGTATCTTTGTAGATTATCCTACATTTCTGATTTTGTTCAGTAGCTATACGTTTTGATTTTTGAACTTGATGATAAACTCAACGAATTCTCAGCTTCCGTTTCTCTCTTTATAGTG